CTCCAAACTATTCCATCTGTGTTCTGTTTGTTTTTTACCGTTTGGTAGCCCTTACATATGGGCCGGTCAGTGTAAGCATCCAAAATACCCTTCTCTTGTCCTATCCTCTTGCTTCTTTATCTCTCTGTTGAGTGGGGCTAAACTATCAGTGACCCGACTCCACCTTCCTTCTCGTCGTGCGCCAGCCTCGCGCGCACGCCGATGCCGGGGTGGAGCTCGCTCGCCCACGCCCGCACCGATGAAAGGTGCCACATATGTCGTCCCAAACGCTCCTTTTCTGAGCACCTCAGCCGACGCACGTAGTAGGTCCTCCAGGTCGAAAGGTGCCACGACGGCCGCTAACCCAAAGAAGACCAGCTTCTTACTGGATGTCGACTGGCCGATAGGCGCGTTGGGGTGGCCTATTGTGGTCAACGATGCTACATCAGTGCTACTGGTCATCTCGGGAGCTTTCCTACCGCCCAGAAGAAGCAGTAGTATTTGGAGCAGAAGCGGCGGCATCTCTAGAGACCACGCCCTGGTGCCCCCGACCTACAATAGAGGCAAACGAGGAGGAAGAGGAGAACTGCAGCGCCCAAGGTGGAGCCCACAGTGATTCCGGCAATGGCGCCACCGGAGAGCTTCTTGCTCTTATGGCCACTTTCTCCCCCACTTCCACCATTGGTGCCACTGCCATCGTTGCCGCCACCGCCATCGCCATCGCCATCGGGAAGGCGTTGGTGACGACGTCCCGCTCGCTAGAGCAGGGAAAGGGAAACTCGCGTGGCAAGGCCCCAAGGGCCCACCGCACAAAGCCGCCTCCCCCTAGAACGCGGAGATGAGCTGCTGCGACCAAAAGTGAGGCCGGGATGGATCCATTCAGCTGGTTGAACAAAACATTGAACTCCTGCAGCGGCGGTAGCTTCACATCCGAAATCTCACGCGGATGGGCCCCGATAGGTTATTCTCGCCGAGCAACAGCCTACCGAGCCCCAAGAGCATGAGAATCACCTGCGGGAACCCGCCCGACAGCCTGTTCCCATTAAGGAAGACGTTCCGAAGTGCGGCGACGGAGGCGAGGTCGGTCGGGAGCATGCTGGAGAGCCTGTTGAGGTGGAGGCTGAGCATGTGGAGCACCATCAAGTTCCCTAGCGTCCTCGTGGGGACCGCCCCTGAGAGCGTCGCCCTGGGAGCCGCAGCACCGCCACGCGGCCGTTCTCGCAAGAGACCCCATCCACGAGCACGCGCCCGTGGCGTCCGAGGCGTTCCACACCAGGCGCCACCCCATGGCGTCATTGAACACCAGGAGCGCCCACACGTCACTCACGAGGTCGTCGGCCCCCGTCTGCATCGCCAGCACCGCGACGATGAGCAGGAGCACACAATGGAGGCGCAAGAGAGAGAAAGAAAAAATTTGGGTGGCTGACAAACGGACCCCACTGTAGGGTAAAATAGTCATTTCACATGTCTATTTGACACCGTTAAATAAATGTCCATGCAGCCCGAGACATGGCGGCCCGACACGAAGCAGACAATTTTGGCCCGGACCAAGCACGTCATGGCTCGATGGTCAGCGGGCCGGGCTAGCCTAGCCCAAGGGAGCAGGCCGTGCTTGGGCCGCTGCTCAGGCCCGTGGGCTGGCACGTCACGGCCCAGCCTTTGATGGTCACCCGGTCAGAGGCCTAGCCTCCTCCCCCCTCCTCAGTCCTTCTCCCCTCCCCAAGGCCCAACGTGGCCCACGCACTTCCCGACTTCCCCGGCCCACCTCCCCCTCATATATAAGCGAGCACGTGGCGGCGGCTCTCCCTCACCCCGAACCCTAGCTCATTTCATCCTGCCATGCCGCTCTCGTCTCGCCTCGCTTTGGCGGTCTCGCCCTCACAGTCTCGGCTCCGTCCTCCCCGACTCTGATGAGGTGACCTCAACAATCCGCCTGCCGCCGACGAGTAGCTCCCTACTCCTCCTACCTGATCCCCTCCCTACTCGCTCTCTCGCCTCTCCCTTCTCTATCCCTATCTCCCCTCTAGATCTCGGTGATTATGTGAGTTCGTGTCCCCGTCTGCCCCTCCTTCGCCACTCGACGTCCTTCTAACCGGTGTGTCGTCTTCTCTAGGTGGCCCTCGTCTTCTCTGGCACCGGGCTCCGGTTGCGCAGGTACAACCCTAACCCTAACCCTAACACTAACACTAACCCTAACCCTAACCCTAACCATCCTCATCTTCCATTGATGAATGATGATTGATCTATTCTGATATATTGTTTTCCTCCTCCTCCATGTCTTTACGCAGGTCGGTAGCCGATGCGTCGTCCTCTAGCTGTGGCATAGAGCAACCAAGGCGGCCCTACGCACCGTTGAGGAACGGTGCTGGAGAGCCCTCCGCGGTCGAGGGCGCCAAGGCTGGTGCTGATGATGAGATCGTCTGGCCGCTCACCAGCAATGACCATCTGATCGTGGTAGTCCTAGCACCTGAGGACAACGATGACACCTAAGAGGACGCTACTGCCTTGTTTGGTAACCATGTCGATAGCGGCTCTGTTGCTCCGATCGATCTAGACGGCGGCGGTGGTGAAGGGGTGACGACGACTGGGACCCCGGTCTGCTCCAACGGCTCAACTCCATCTATTGCTGGTACTAGTACCTCTTCTGGACCTGGTGTTGGTAAGCGTAAATCTTGTGTGGGCTAATTTTGATGAGATCTATGAGACTGTGAATAGTAGAAAATCTACACTAAAGCTACCTGTAAAATGTGTAAGCATACTTTGTCTGCTAGATCTAATGCTGGCACTGGACACTTGAAGAGTCACCAGAAATCTTGTAGGCAGAAAATTGATCAAGCTACTAGGGTTCAGTCTAGACTTGCTTACAATACTGATGGTTCTGTGCATAACTGGGACTATAAACCTGATGTTGCTAGATCTGAATTATGTCGCTTGATTGCTAGGCTTGATTTGTCGTTAGGTATTGGTGAGACAGAGGCCTGGGAGGATTACATTGTCCATGCTTATAACCATAGGTTTGTTAAAGTATCTAGACAAACCACCACTAGAGATCGGAGTAAATTGTTTACTGAACGTCATAATATGCTTAAGAATTCTGTGTTGTCTGCTGCTTTCTCTGTTGCTTTAACATCAGACATTTAGTTTGGTAATGCTAAGGAGGATTACATTAGTGTTGTTGCTCATTTTGTTAGTGCTGATTGGGAGTTACAGAAAAAATGTTATTGGGCTTAGGATATACCTCTGTTATATTCATTTGCATTCATTCTTGATTCTAGAGCTAAGATGAGATGTTTATTTAGAGTCCTGGAATTACTTAAAGAGAGCACTGGTTGTGATTATACTTCATATTATGCTGATGTGAAAACTGAAATTTACAAGTTATTTAACAAATATGAGAGAACGTTTGGTGCATCTAGGAGTCAAAGGGTTGCACAGTCTGCAAGCCATACAGGTAAGAGAAAATAGGCATGGAGAAGAATCTTTGGAGGCCCTGGATCTGTTGTTGGTCCTCCCCTGTCTGTGCCCCCACTTTCTCTTCATCTGCTTGTACTGCTAATGAGCTCTTAGTTTATCTGGACAGTGACAATGGCACTGCATATGAGGATGATTTTGATTTACTTCTCTGATGGCGTGATCACAAACTAACATATCCAATCCTATCTATAATGGCTAGAGATATTATGTTTGTTCCTATTTTTACTGTCTCTTCGGAATCATGTTTTAGCTTGTCAGGAAGGATAATTGAAGAGCGACGGCGTCGCCTGTTGCCTAGAACTGTGGAGATGCTGGCCTGCATAAAGAATTGAGAGTTGGGAGAAAGCAGATTACAACATGCTATTGACAACCCAGAGCTGGAGGACTCCTTCAAGAATATGTACCTCGATAAAGATGCAGATGGGGCTACTAGTACTGCTGGTTCATCTAGGGCTGGGGCTGGTACATTTAGGGCTGTTGGTAATTAATCTGTTATCTCCATTTTATATCTGTCATCTGTGACTGTGACTGTGTGACTTGAGACATTTGAACAATGATGGAAGACTTATTAAGAGATGTGCTGCACTCTTTTTCTCTTTGTAGGGTTTCTCACATGAATGAGTTTACCTAAAAATGTTTTTAATGAGGCAACATTGCACAAACAACTCAGTTATTTTAATTCTCTTGTCTTCTTTGGTGTCTTTTGTTACAAGCTTAGAAGTGAGAATCTGTGACTGTGATCAGTTTATTACTTGTGATTATGAAATACTGAAATGTGAATGAATTGTGAAATGTGATTGTGAAAATAGAGAAGTATTGGATGAGAGAAGCAGTTTGAGGCGTTTTAATGATACTGGGACTATGGGTCATAAAACGGGAACGGCCCATGGATTTAGTGCACCAACACTATCAACAATGATATGTTTATCGGTCATTCACGATCTTGAAGACGGATTTTGGCCCATAGGGCTGTGCTTGGGTCGAAAGCAAGGCACGATACCCGGAGGGCCATGAATAGTAGTGGGAAGGAAGCACGACGTTGTGGTCGCCTCAAGCCATATCCGCATGGCATATAAACAATCGGTCATGTAGCCAAGACTACACCCCTCTATATATGTTCACTGGCTAACTATATACCGTTAAATAAAAAAGCGGACAAAATGGATTGAAGAGTAAAGAAGTTTAAAACGATAGCACTTATGAGAGCTTAACTTTTTAATAATTTATGCGTAATTGTAATTTTTTTTAATGACACACGTGTAAAAGCGTCGATAAAAAAGGGTGGGGGAGAGCTTCTTGGTTCGCTTCGTTCTCTTCGTCGGCTGCGCGAGGTGGGTTCCTCGCTTCGTCTTCCTTTCTTTGCCTGTGCGTGGCGGATTTTTTAAGAAGGTTGTGTTCTCTAGGTGCTCGAGGGGATCACAGGATTTAGGGTTTTGGGGTACTTGTGCTGGATCTGCGGCGGAATCGCGGGCGAGACCGGCTGGCTGGCGGTGGACCTACAGCGGCCTACGGCGGTGCTGCGCCGGACTCCGACCTGCGTTGGATCTATGCCGGAGTCACGGGTGGCGCGGGAAGACGGGCGCTCCAGCTTCGACGGGCCTGCGCCGAGCTCCTCCTCCACGCTCCGCCGTGCTGCTGTTTTGATATGCGCCGGTATGCTCCTCGCACACCTACGTCGTTGCGTTGTTTATCGGATTACGGCTATGCTAGGCTTCTTCTCTATCGTGCCTACCTCTCCTCTCGTGCTCTCTTTCTCTCTCTTCCTCTCCTCCGTTGCGCTTTTCTCCCTTCTCCATCAGGCGCGGCCTGGGCGGGCACGGGTCGCCGGCGTCCGAGACGCGCCCGGCGTGGTCAGGTCCTGGCGGTCGGCACGACTGCGGAGCGAGCGTGCTCCCCAGTGCGGCGGTGCAGCGGCGCGGTTGGGTCCCGTCGCTGGCCACGGCGGTGTTCTCCGGCGTGCGCTTCCGCGACTCTCATGTGATTGGCATTGTGTACACGGATCTGCCTTTCTGATTGTAGTTTTCTTTTCAGCGTTCTAGATGCTCTATGTAGGATGTTCTTTACTATAGATTTTAGTGGTAAATACTATGGATCCTCAGGTTATATGATTATCACGGGCTCCTGGTTGCTCCAGGAGCTATAGTTTTTTTTTTTGGCGTTCTAGGTGCTTTGTGTAGGATGTTCTTTATTGTAGTTTTTAGTGGTACAACGTGCTATTGATCCTCAGGTTATATGATTATCACACTTCGTTGCGATTTAGTTAACACTAAAAAATAAAAATTTCAGGATTCCCGGTTCCATATGGTATCTAACTTACATCCTGAATTGTAAAATAGGTATGGAGTAGTACTTGGCGGGCCAACACTGTGTTATACAGATGAAATACTCCTCCATTTTCCCTACCTTCATTCGAATGCTGTCTGAAAATCACATGCAGTTAGCTACAGATTATATAGGGCCATATCTGTGTTATATCTGCTTTCTTGTGGATCGTCTATGTTAGTCTTTTTAATTTTCCTATCTATTTTCACCTGATGCTTCCTGAGATCAGTGTTGTCGGATTCTTGCTCCACTCAGATGTATTGGTTCAGATGAATGGGAAGAGCGGCTCACGCGCATGACCTAGCAATAATTTGCAGCGAGCTTAAGCATAGTGTACAATTTGCTCATGCTTTGTGAGGTGCCGATGTAGCACAGGGCAATTCTCAGATTCAGTTTTATCTTTAACTAGATGTTGCTGGGTCGCTGCACAGTTGTATTTTTTAAAATTTAGGGAGGATATAAGTGTCATTAATAGCTGACTTTGCTGAGCTTCCAGCACACATCCTAGCTTATCTTATTGACCCCTTGTGGGCTCATTGTAGGTTAGCACACATCCTATTTTGCTAGGCTGTTAGCTGGACATTTTTTTAGGGTTAGTGTGCTGTTCTTATGTTTGACTGTTCATGGAAGAGAGCCAGATTCGATTTTAGGCGATTCAGTTCCACTTTGTAGACCACGGTGTTGGCGGCGTCCCAATGTCTCTTGAACAGGGTAAGAATCTTGTTCGCTTATTCTATTCTAGCCAAGTGTGTAGTCGTTGTTCCATCATCAGGAACACACCAACGGTTCTCAGTTGTTGCTAGGCTGAGGGCGGGTGTTCCCTGTGAAGCCAGTTCAGTTGAGATTGCTCTGGACCTTAGGGGGCAGCTAAGGCAATTTCAGACCAGCTTCAATATAACGTACTCAGCTCCAAACTTTATCATCGAGACGGCCTCGGCTGTGTTTCAGCTCTAGCTTCTTGCACGTCGAGTCTTGGATGGGAAGGTTTTGTCTTAGGCCTGGTACCGTGCTGCCCTGAGTATGAGCCAGAGGATCTACCGTGGATCGTCGTTCACGGTGCTGAAGGTAAGATTCAAACATCTCTGCTAAAATATATCTGCATTGTAGAGATTAGTTTTTATTTTCCCCAGTTGACGCTGCAAGTTCAAACACAGCAGTTACATCAGGACCGGCAAAACCCTACATGGCTAACCTTGTCGGGCAACTGGAGGCGTTACGAAAGTATGCATTAGGGGTGCTTACCGGACAGATAGACGAGGATTTTAGACCAGGTATACGACTACATGAATTCTGTTCTGTTTCTATTACCTTTCCATACGACCCCACTCAGTTATACCTACACTGGTTAAAACGCTGTTTCTCTGCAGCACTAGGCAATGGCAAGATTTACATAGACATGGTGGTCGCCCATGGACCAACAGTAGCACTAGACTTGAGCTATATGTTAATACTAGAGCTTCGAGACTTCTACTATCAGAGGTACCATGCCTTTGTAAAGTGCAGGACATCATGCCAGCAAATCTGTGATATTGCTCACAGGCTTTGTGTGAAGCTAGATCCAGCCCTTCAAGACATCTATAATTATACCCAGTCCTTCGGAGGTGCATTAAGTGGAGAGAGCTTGTTGCACATTACTGGGTTTGGTGGTCGAATGAAGCTTGAGGCATCATATGCAGCTAAGGAATTAGCTTATATGCATGGCATCATATGCCTTGTATTCCATAAGGTCAGGCTACCCATCAGCCTCAGCAGGTTCAAGGACGGACCATCCATTTATCAGGTAACGGCACTACTTCCTATGTACATACATTGCGATACTCATGTTGTTATGCGTAATTTACAGAAAAAAAAAAAAAACATAAAGGAGACTAAAACTCTTTCTGAATGGTTAACCGCTGTTACATGTCATTTTGAAACCAGGTGGATGCACCAGGCTATCCTACGGTCCATCTTAGGGCTATCCTTGATGTGATTGTTAAGAAGTTCCACAAAACAACAGTGTCTGTTACAACTGCGACAACAGCAGATGGAAACCTTTGCACAACTATTGATGGAACCACTTTCCGTCGCAGGTATAAGCCTGCCAAACCAATGCTGCTGTTCGAGGCAGAGGCAGTTGCCATCTGCCGTTTCGTGAGGCCCGTGACACATGTGTTGGGTTATAACATAGTCGATGCAAACTACCCTACTCTTGCTAGGTTAGTATCTGAAATGAACAACTACAGAGCAGCTAGGTGAGCTGCAGGCGTGTGCAGACAGGGCAGTGAGGATGGTACATCGGATCCATAGTTCCATAAAGGACGTGCACGAGTTGCTTACGTTACAGGTCCCTCCAGAAGATATCGAGGAGCTAAGTAGCTTGGTTACTAGCCTGCTTACATCCTTAGAGAGCCACTACACGGCTGTGGATCAGGCATTGGGGGCTTTTAGACAGGCCGAGGTACGTTTTCAAGTTTCCTTGTTCAGCGTAGCATTTCCAGCCAAAGCCCTTGCTATATCGAACAAGATTAGTTGCTAATTATGTGCCCTTTACATGTGCATGCCAGCCATACCTCTAGAGTTGTTAATTCATCCCAAACTTTCTTATATGGATCAGCCTTCCTATTTCTCTTGTAGTAGACTAGATGCTGGCTGGTACTTAGGCTAGATATATCATAGCCAGACAATTTGGAAATAAACCTCCTTGCTATAGATCTTGGGTTTCTACTTTATTTAATGTAGAGAAACTTGGCACTCTTCCTGTTTTCCATGACAGAAATTGAAACTGCGTGCTCTGTTATTGTCCAATGTTCACTGAGTTATTGCACCAAGAGATTTATTGGCTATGGAACCCTTTATATCGATACAAAAAATGCAAGTAGTATGAAGTTCTTTGTAGTTTTCAGCTTTCAATATACTGAGACGCACCTGAAAGCTCTAGTTTGGTTTTGGTGAATTGATGAAACCCTAAGTGCTAACCTAGTTTATCAAAGTGATCATGAGATAGGTAGCACTATTCCAAGTGGTGGAGCAATGGTGAAGATCATGATGATGGTGTGGTGACCATGATGATCAAGTGCTTGGACTTGGAAAAGAAGAGAAAAACAAAAAGCTCAAGGCAAAGGTGAAACTTGATAGGAGCTTTTTGATTTGGTGATCGAGACACTTAGCGAGTGTGATCATATTTAGAATAGATGGTCGTACTATGAAGAGGGGAGCTCTTATCGGACAACTCGATCATCTAGTGCCACTAGGTGTTAAAATACTTGCATTGCATTTTAGGCCGAGTGCACAATCGGTGAGAAGTGATTAACCTTTGAAAAATGATTGTGAAAATGCTAACACACTTGCACGTGATGGTGAAACATTTAGAGTGTTAGCGCATTTGCAAAGGTGGTGAAAAGGTGAAGAAAAGGAGGCGAAACTCGGCTCGGGGTGCTGCCCTAGGTGCACCGCCACCCCCTGTCCGGTGCACCGTCACCCCTGTGACGGTGACCGGCAGTGGAGGTCAAGAGGGAGGTGCTCTGGGGGGCACCGCCACCCCTTGTTCGGTGGCATCGCCACCCCTAGGGCGGTGCCCACCTGGACTCGGCCGAGAGCGAGGTTGTGGAGGTTGGCACCGCACGTGGTGGTGTGCACCGCCTCTGGTGCGACGGTGCACCGCCGGGGGCACCGCCACCTTGTCCGGTGGCATCGCCCCTTTTCAACAGAGAGGAGGGGAAACCAGGACGGGCACCGCTGCGGTCACCGCCACCCCATGGCGGTGCACCGCCCCATTTATCTAGAGAAGAGGGAAAATGGGGGGCTGGCTCGGGGTGGCACCGCCACCCCATGTCCGGTGCCACACCGACATGTTCGGTGCCCCCGCAGAAGCTGACTCAAAGGGGTAACGGCTCTATTTGCTTGTGGGCTTATAAATAGAGCTAGTGGCCAGCCTTGGTCACCCTCTTGGCACTTCTAACAGCTGCATACACCCTTTGAGAGCTGAGCACACCACTCCACTCACTTGCACACTTGATTTCATCATCTTGAGTGAGATTGGAGAGCCTCTAGTGCATTGCTTAGTGTTCTAGCATCTTGTGGCACGGCGATTTGGGCTGGTGGAGTTCTTGTTACTCTTGGTGTTTGTTGACACCTAGACGGCCTGGTGATTGGTGGATTGTCGAGCGGAGGAAGGTGATTGTCTCCGACTCCGATCATTGTGATTGTGAGGGGTTCTAGTGTCTTCCCCGGCGGAGCGTCAAAGGCAACTCTAGTGGATTGCTTGTGGCTTGTGTGATCATCATCTTGTGTTGGTTGTGCGGCACCCGGTTGTGGGTTTGGCGTGTGATGCCAATTAGTGCGTGAACCTCGCAAGTGATTGAATCACCACAACGAGGACTAGCTTGTCGGCAAGCAAGTGAACCTCGGTAAAAAATCTTGTGTCACCTTGTCCGAGGTTTTCTTGATATTCATTGATTGATTGTGATTGATTGGCTTCATCATATTGTGATCGGCTTTATCCTCGACACGGCGGTGTAATCATCACATCCCCTACCATGCATTTACATTTCTAGTGTTGTTTCGCTCTTTAGTGTAATTAGCTTTGAGAGCAAGCTTGTGCCGGGTCTAGTGATTAGTGTGGCTCTTTAATTAGCCTTTGAGAGAACACTAGCTTAGTGTAGTGACTTAGCCATTGTGTGCGTAGAGATTATAGTCACTAGAATTATGGTAGGTGGCTTGCATTTTTAGCAGGCTAGCACAACACTCACTTCGCTATTTAATTGTCTAACATCTTTGCTAAGTGTTGTTGTAGAAATTTTTAATAGGCTATTCACCCCTCTAGCCATTAGGATCTTTGAGCACCCTATTTACATTCAAATAGTTATGCTGGTTATGTTGGTTATGTCGATTTCATAGAGGGAAAAAAATATTGGTATACCTTTCTTTGCTGTGCTACACTATTGTGCTAATTTCATACCATACGTGCGTAGTTACCTAGACAATGTTAGAATATCATATGGTGGATAAAAAAATAAGTCACCTGGATGCCTTATTCCTTTTGGTACACTTATTTCTCTTTGGTTATTTTTAAATGCACGGACTACCACTTGCTGATGAATTCTCACTATTATATACTCCTATGTTTATGATCTCTTCCCTATGACCTTAAGTATTATAAGCACGTGACTGTATACGCCGAGCTAATAACATGCACACTCGCTTTGCCAGGAGCTAACGGGTCTGTGAAGCTAGAGACGAGGTAGGCAAAACCACCTACGCCGGCTTCGATAAACAGGTGCATCCTAATTCTATTCCATGTTGCGGCCATGATTTCTAGAGTGTTTCCATTGCTCTTAGGGCTTACTAGAGCTAGCCTGTGTAGCAAGGTGGTTTCGGCTGTTTGTCTTTGTTTGTACTTAGGTTAGTCTGGCCGTTGCTATTTTCTGTAGCCTGCTTACTCTGTCGTGCAAGATACTAACTTCATGCAGCTTCATTGTCAGGAACCTTGGAGTTTGATAGCGGTGGCTGGGATTCCGATTGAAGTTGGCAAGGTCTGTTACCAGGAATAGAGCATGAACACTTGAACTGTTTGCGTAGTGTCTTTTGAGTACTGTGGCAGTGTGGCTTACCCCAGCTTGGAAACAACCTTATTGTATGGTCTATGCTTGGAAACAATGTCTTTTGTACTGGTGCTATACCGTAGGTGATGTGTACATTGTTTTTTTTTTTTTGCCTCAGTGGCGTTGTGTACATTGTTTTTTGGCTCAGTGGCGTGGTTCTTGCTGCTGGTAGCTTGACAAGTTAGTGATCGTTTCTCTTGCTATGCTATGTGAACAAGTTCCTGATAACAGTTCTGTCCTGCTACCTGGGTTGTGGTAAGTGCTCATGTGAGCTTTTATTTGCGTTAGCCTGTAGCAGTAAATTGGCTTTCAGCATAGTTTGTTTGGTGATCTCACTGCCCGTGGGTATAAGATGGATGTGTGACTGACATTGTGGATAGCTTAAGTGTCTCTTCCAGCCTTTTCAGAACTGTAAACATGTTGTGTGGAACTGTAGACTTGTGTAGGCTTTGCTCTTAAGTCCAAGAAAAAACGTTTATCTGCTCTTCCTCGGTGCCGTTCCACTGCACCAATACAAATCTTGGCCGCTGGCCCGCGCGCATGTAATCTTGGCCATTATCCCCTCGATGACAGTACTACCCCACATCGTTTGTGTACAGTCTATGTATTCAGCCTGTTCGTTTGTTGGTTTCAATCAGTCTAAACTAGCCAGCCAATAGTGTTTTTCTCTCACATAAAATCAGCCCCAGCAGCATCGACCAGCGAACAGGTCTATTGTGTGCTACGCTCAAGCGTTCGAGCTTCGGAACTAAGATGGTCGTATGAACCTAATTATGCTATGGTGCGTTTTGACGTACTCTTATTAATGTCATGACGTGCTTAGCTATAGTTCGTTCCTATTTCTGTTGCCAAATTGCTCGCAACGGCACGCGCTAATCACTAGTCACTAAGGCACACGGAGCACAACGACCGTCGGCATTGCATAGGCAAGGCAAGAGGACATGCATGAGATCACGACGAAAGCTGGTCACACGTGGCCGTCGCACCGATGAGCCATGCTGCGCCGCTACATGATTGCTTCACATGCTGAGTTGATATTGATCAACTATTGGGACAAGATCTTGATTTTTTATTAAAATAACAAAAACTAGGGTAACCTGCAATTTCTTTTCACCCATGATTCGTCCTTTTTTATCTTTGAATTTACGCAAAACGGAGTTATTTGTATGTAGCTTGATAATGCTTATTCATTTGTATGTTAGTTATATATTGCAAAGTTTATTATTATTGTCATTCCTTTATCGTTGCCATTGATCAACTGTTGAGAGAAGATCTTGATTTCATTAAAACAACAAATACTAGGGTAACTTACATTTTTTTTTTGCGACTGTAACTTACAATTTCTTTTCATCCATGATTTGTCCCTTTTTGTCTTTGAATTTACGCAAAACAACCAAAAATACTAATGTGAAACGTGCTTAGTAGGAGTATATACGAGGCCCAATCATTGCCTTTGAACCCATCTATAAAGATATTCTATTTCTGTATTTAAAGAAATTATTTATGATATATGTGAATTGACATATCGAGAATTCAATTAATATCCCATTGCGCTTGAAATACTTTTCATGAACACGCGACATATTTACTAGTAGTTCCTAAAAGAAATTAAGTTTTAGGTTATGTTTATTGGCTTGGATATGCTAGGTTTTTCTCCATTATATAGCGGTTAAATTTACTTATATTTGCTAGTACATTTGTATTGTATATTTATATTATCGACGAGTGAGTTGATTTGGATTCTATATTATTATATATGCATATAAGTAAGTAATAAGGAAAGGAAAAGCTTGAGTATGATTGAGATGTACCTTACTCAATTATTTTATTTTCTCAGCTTGATGTTGCCAGCGGATGAAAACTTGATGGCAAGGACTCCACGTCTCGTGGAGGTGGAGGCGTGGAGCGTTCAAATTTGTCAGCTCGGTGTTACCTCCAACATATCTCCATCGATCTGGACCGTTGGATCCCCACCAGACGTGACTAACCGACTAGGAGGCAGATCGGTTCCAGAGTCCGGACGCAAGCCGTTCGAAAACCAGGGCTTTTATATTTATATATTTATATTAAACTTGCCGTCAAGCCAATCAGCGAATCCACCGGATCCCAATTGAAACTAGACACCTCTCTTCCCAAACCCGCTCAGCTCGAGAACCTCGCCGCCGCCGTCGCCGTCGCCGGCTGCCGTCAACACCCGACCAGCTGCCATGGCTCGCAACGAGGCGAAGGCGCAGTGGATGTTGAACCACTTCATCAGGATGAAGCGGGAGGAGCAGGCCCTCCGCGAGATCGGCGCCAGGGTCGCCGATATCCAGATCGAGGAGGACCTCGGCTAGCATCGGGCCTCCGCCTCCGCGACCTCAGCAGCTAGATCAACGAAGGCGGCCTCCGCGACCTCAGATAACATCGTCGAGCTCGGCGACACCGACTACTCCGACAGCTCCTACAACGCCGCTCATGATCGTTCCCAGCCTCTCAGGCCAAGCATCCACAGATCACAGTTAAACCTTGAGTTTTGCTTTTGAGGGCTTACAACATTATGAATCATTAGTCCTCTTGTATTCAGAACAACTTTCAGGTAGAGATAATAGAACCAGAGTAATTCTAGGATGCGAGATATAGTGATAAACTAGTCAAGGTTGTTCTTCCCTGTTTCAGCAAGGATGCATTCAGTTAACGTTCTTACAGATCATGAGTTTGCTTTGCATCCTAAACTATTTACAGCATTGCATTTCCTTCCTAACTACTCGTAGGAGGTGTATCACAATCGCCTATCCTATGGACCATGGTATTAAACACTGAATCAGGCTAATTGAAAAATCATGAGATGCACTGAAGTAACCAAGGTTGCACGCACATACCTCTGGTTGCAGACTCGTGCGCTTAGAGACTTGCGTGCACTCACACGTACGATCCGCGAGGAGCGCTCCACCAGGGCCAGGCTGAACACAAGCCACGCCACCTCTACGTTGTGCTCATGCAATTCCTACCTGCTAGCTCTTTTCGTTGTACTCCACTTATTCCTGACGAGTAGCACTAACACACAACTAAATAAGCTAACTGTACGTGCATGTGACTAACACATTCACGCACTGATACACAAACTAACCCTGGCCACAACGTGCCACGTGCTCATGCAAAATGTTCAACAAATGAACGTGTGACTAACTCACCTATTCTGTATTTCTATATGCAAGATTCAAACATTGCATAAGGACTAGCTTGACTGCACACCAATTAATCCATCACAATTCACATGGGTTAGAAGTGAAAATTGTTCATAATGGAATTTGCACCGGTGCAGCCATGCAACAGGGAGAGCTAGCAAGGTCACAAAGGATGGGAGTAAGATCGTCGTTACACCCGGCTCATCTCTCAGCTCCACTCAACTCCTCCTATGTCGCCACTGCCACCTGGTCCGCTATGGTTTGGCTCCATCCAAGCCCTATCCCACTGACCTCTTGCATACTTACTACGGAGTGCGCGGAGGCCCTAGTGGCTAGCGCAACGCCAAATCCAATCATGGACTGACATGGTCTCCAAGTCCAATCGTGGACTTGCCATCAGTTTAGACTATCTCCAACACAACAAGGAACACATTACCCATATAAGCACATAAATCCAAAATGGGTAGCAAGAGACACAAAATCAGCCTCCAACAGAGTACCTATACGGGATACCTATTTTGGGTTGCCTGAGAGGCACAACCCAAATATGTGCATCATCTCTCCTAGAAACCCATTTGCAGAAATGATTCTTTTTTGGGTCTTGTTGTCGGAGAAGATGCCGAATAGCTATTGAACATTTTGTCTGTAGCGCTACCCAAAGAACGAATGGGTCTTATATTTTAGGTGTTGTTGTTGGAGATAGCCTTAGTAACCTCGAAACGGGTTCGTGCTGCTAGAAAGGTACATGTCAGCGTAGCACCTCACCCTCCTTTCACATTTTCTTCATGCTTTTGGGGGATTTTGAACTCCACATTTGTATAATTGTTATTAAATCACCAAAACCTACGACAGGATTAGCTGCATTTTCAGGGCCGTCCACGCGCTTGGTCAATCAAAGTTGAGTTAATTTGACTTAGGTTAAAACTAAAGTTGAGTATAATTTAAAACGAGGAGTGCAAACTATATCAGGATCAATAACAATAAATTTCACAATAAATTCTTGATAGTAATTTTAGTTATTCTTGAATTAAAGAAAGTTTACATGAATCATGGGTGGTTTTGAAGTAATTATGTGGGCCTTGAAATGGTCTGGAGGTCCTCTTCTTTCCTCATGTTGTTAAAACTTGTTTCCGCAATGAAATGACGTTCTACTCCCTCCGTCCTAAAATATAGTGCATTCTGGCATTTGAAATTTGTCCTCAAACATAGTGCATTCGGGGAACAATAAGATAATATTTACTTAAATAAAATGCATGGTTATTTTGTATAAGGAAAGTAATTCATGTACTTGTCATATCTTGTATAAAGGAGACTAAGAGTCCACCCTTTAATCATGTGAAAAGAATCAGATTTCAATACATTAGGTGTAAGTGAAGGGTACATGCGTCTATTGCACTCTCCCTTATTTTGTCCGAAAATGGCTAGAATGCACTATATTTGAGGACGAGAGAAGTAAGTCTTTGGTGCCATCTAGATGAGGAGTCATTTCTCTCGTGAATGTGGCAGGTTCTTATAGATGCAACGCTCCATTCTCATGGTTGGCACCTTGTTTCTACCTGAAACCATCTTTTGCTACCCTCGTACCCGTTATCACCGGTTGGTCAATTTGCTATCGGTAATCTTTTTCAAGCTTGACAATGAACCTTAACTTTGCTAGAGGTAAGTAGAGAAGTTTATGAGTGAGCATGGAGTTCAATCTCAACAAATGGATGATGGCATACTATAGTGTGGGAAAATTGGATCTATACCATTAAAGGATCCAAAGTTTAAAAAAATAGCATTGAAATTAAACTTCAAGTCTTTTAATTGTATAGATCCGGTTTTCCCATGTAGTGTTGGTGGCAGGTTCTTATAGCCGCAACGCTACATTGCTATAGTTGACACCTTGTTTTTGCCCCAAACTATCTTATGCTACCTCGTTACTCGCTCCCACACCTGTTACTACCAATGCGTCAATTTGGCACCGACAACCTTTTTTCGAGCTTGACTATAAACCCAAACTTCAACATAGGTAAGCAGAGAATCTTATGAGTGAGGATGAGGTTCAATGGTAACAAATGGGTGATGGCATAGTCAGTGTTGGTGGCGTCTAAATACATTTATTCATCATGAGTGTGCTGTAGTCATTGGCACAATCAAATATCCAATGGATTTAACAAAGTTTGAGTATGGTTTAGGTGTACGATACTCAAATTTATTAGCTCGATGTTGCCTAAGGATGAAGAAGTCGACAAGAGTTAAGAATCACATGAGCGTGTTTGGTGGCGTTCTAGATTTTTATATGAACGTTTCAGATTTATATATTTCCTTTGAAAACGTCTCTCATGAATATAACCGCTTTGTGAAATTAGTTGGCTAGCTCTCTGAATTCTTTAACTAAAACTAAAATTAGAAGAAAACATGTTTTTAGTTGTTTTCTAGACTAATAGAAAAAACGAGAAACATTTCTCCTTATGACAGTTCGGTCGTAATAATTCTAGTGATTCTGAAACATTTGTTGCTGCCATAGGCACACGATTACTAGTTTACTGCACACGATCGTGGTTTCGTGGAGAGCTGAAATTTATGAGCTCCGCTGCGTATCTGTATCTCCCGCCTTGTTTAGTTGGACCTAGAGTCCAAAAAATTGCTACAGTATCTGTTACATCGAATATTTGCGTGGAGAGCATTAAAATTTAAAAGAGCTTGCGAGATTTAACGTTTTGAGCCTAATAGTCAATGTTTGTATCTCCAAATCAATCTGGATCCGTTGGATAGGGCTCCATCAATCTGGACCGTTGGATAAAAGACGGCGCTAACCGACTAGGGAGGAAGACGGTTCCGGAGTCCGGACCCAAGTCGCTCGAAAATCTTCAAGTCGAGTCCAATCCCCAAAATCCCCAATTGAACCCGCCCGCCTCTCGCCCCAAACCCTCGCCCAGCTCGAGGACCTCGCCGCCGCCGCCGGTCGCCGGCCGCCGTCTCCGCCCGACCGCCGCCATGGCTCGCAACGAGGAGAAGGCGCAGTCAATGCTGAACCGCTTCATCACGATGAAGCAGGAGGAGAAGCGCAAGCCCCGGGAGCGCCGGCCCTACCTCGCCTCCGAGTGCCGCGACCTCACCGACGCCGAGCGCTGGCGCTCTGAGATCCTCCGCGAGATCGGCGCCAAGGTCGCCGAGATCCAGAACGAGGGCCTCGGCGAGCACCGCCTCCGCGACCTCAACGACGAGATCAACAAGCTCCTCCGCGAGCGCAGCCACTGGGAGCGCCGCATCGTCGAGCTCGGCGGCCGCGACTACTCCCGCAGCTCCAACGCGCCGCTTATGACCGACCTCGACGGCAACATAGTCGCCGTCCCCAACCCCTCGGGCCGCGGACCGGGGTACCGATACTTTGGCGCGGCCAGGAAGCTCCCTGGCGTGCGGGAGCTCTTCGACAAGCCGCCCGAGATGAGGAAGCGCCGCACCCGCTACGAGATCCACAAGCGCATCAACGCCGGGTACTACGGATACTACGACGACGAGGACGGCGTGCTAGAACGCCTTGAGGCCCCTGCCGAGAAGCGCATGCGGGAGGAGATCGTTTCAGAGTGGCACCGCGTGGAACGGGTGCGGCGGGAGGCCATGAAGGGGGTGGTGAGCGGTGAGGTGGCTGCGGCTGGAGGGCACAGCGGGGAGGCTGCCAGAGAGGTGCTGTTTGAGGGGGTGGAGGAGGAGGTCGAAGAGGAGAGGAAGCGTGAGGAAGAGAAGAGGGAGAGGGAGAAAGGCGAGGAGGCTGGGAGGGAATTTGTTGCACATGTGCCGCTACCTGATGAAAAGGAAATTGAGCGCATGGTCTTAGAGAGGAAGAAGAAGGAGCTGCTTAGCAAGTATGCCAGCGATTCCCTGCTGGTTGAGCAGGAGGAGGCCAAGGAGATGCTCAATGTCCGACGCTAGAAGACGGTCTGTTCTCAATTTCCATGTCTCAAATGAAAGTTATTAACTGATGTAGTGCCCCTGACTTAAAGTACTGTAGAGTTAAGCAGAGTTCTTGTTTTTGTTGCATTCGAAATTATTTCTGCCATTACTGTCAGTGCCGTCTGCTAGAATTCAGATGACGATGCAATGCCTCCTTTTACAATTCTTAATCCATTGTTTGTGTTGCATTAGTAATATTGTGGTTCTGGATGTTAAAAGCTGTGTGCACCATTGATGAAATATAGATATGGGGAACCCTCAACCTTTACTGCTTTAGATTAGAATCGATGTACTGTTTTAGTCATTGCTGTCTGTGCTGCTCAGTCTGTGAAGCTGCACCTAATTAGTTGTGTTCACAAAACTGAGACCTGTTGAAATTTGGTATCAGGTCTCCTTGGAGCTACTATTACTTTAGCCTAAAATATACACAAACTGAAGTTTTTTCTGTAACAAAGTCAAACCCTTTAGTCATATCATATACTGTTGACTAATTAAGCAATTAAGGTCTGAACTTCTTTTATACTCTGGTTAGAAACCTTTGATAACTGCCGTAAAAGCACCAGCCTGTAATGTAAAAAATGGTTGATTCCTTGTCTTTAAATTATGTTTTGTGCTGACTGTTGAAACAAAAAAATACCATTCAAACAGAAATGAAGCACACCTGATTGTCTGAGCTGCCTCACGAGCAGATACTTCTGCCTTTTGATTACAAATCAGTGCTGCCACATTTTCCCCCTCCTTTACTATAGAACCCTTAGATTGTGTTTTGTCGAGCCATTCAGATTTGTGAAATAGTAAGACCGCATTCTCCAAGCATATGTGAAGATACTTCTGCCTTTTGATTACAAATCAGTGCTGCACATTTTTGCCCTCCTTTACTACCGAACCCTTAGATTGTGTTTTGTCGAGCCATTCAGATTTGTGAAATAGTAAGACCGCATTCTCCAAGCATATGTGAAGATACTTCTGCCTTTTGATTACAAATCAGTGCTGACACATTTTCCCTTCCTTTATAGAACCCTTAGATTGTGTTTTGTCGAGCCATTCAGATTTGTGAAATAGTAAGATCGCATTCTCCAAGCATATGTGAAGATTTTCTGTAGATGCGTGTGTATTAATTGTATCATTTGCTAAATGGGATATTGTGAGCTCTTTTTTGCGAGAGGATATTGTGAGCTGATTTGTTATATGATGTACTCCCTCCATTAAAAAATAAATCAATTCCTAGAGTCACCCTAAGTCAAACTATTTCAGTTTGACCAACTTTATAGAAAAAGATAACATTTATGACATCAAATAAGTAAATTATGAAAATATATCTCATAATGTATCTAGTGATACTTATTTGGTGTCATAAACATTAGTGTTTTTTCTATATAAATTTGGTCAAACTTAAAATAATTTGACTTGGGACAACTCTAAGAAGTTGATTTAATTTGGGTGGAGGGAGTAACTGAAACACCTTTCCAATGCATGTGGTATGAAATACGGTCGTGCTCAGTGATGTTTCCACTTTTTTTGTAGCCATACTGTCACTACCTTGCCTCAAGTTTCAACATAAGTATGTATATGTTAACCTGCTTCCTTTGGATCAGGCTGGCCAATTGATGCATTGATGCTTTCGTTGTGATCTGAAGACGAGCACCGAGGTACAGGAAGGAACATCTTTTGAAGTGCTGGCATCGGGGGAACTGAAGACATTATTGATGTAAAAGGAAACAGGTTTGCCTGAAATTGTGTTTCTGTGTTTAATCAACCTTGGCGAGTGATACCGGTACCTGTTGACAAATTGACGAAGGCTAAACTTGTGGTATTGGTGTGCCTGTGTGCACTGTAACTCGTATCATGTACAACCATTGGCTGCAGTGCACTGATTATTGATCCCTTATAATTTCAGTGATATAGCGAATCTTATGATTTCAGTGATGACTTTGCCCTGTTATGTACAGTTGTTCGCCATATGCATATGCTTTCTGTGGGACCTACATAGAATGTCATTTATTCTGGAGAATCTGATGTTAACCGTATACATACTGTTTGGTTCACTAAAATGTATCGCAACCCCATTGCATATGGTATGCAATTACCGTTACATCAGCTTGCTTACTACCGTTTGTAATCAGTGTTATCTGATTCCATTTTCATTTTCAAACAAAGATTGCAATCAAGCATCCCAGCTCTGATGACAGTGCTATCCATTTCCCTTTGCGTTACCACTAACTGAACCAAACACTCTCATAAATCCCGGCCTCGTCTCTGGTGTATCAGCTCTAACTTCCACGCATAGCCCATTATGTGCTAGTACAGCTCGTGAAACTGTATTATGGGAGATGAGCTTGAATGCTAACGGGCCGCGAAAAAAAAAAATCAGGACCAATTTATGCTGTTTTGTTCAACAAATTTATATGTTAACTGAACAGACTACAAATGCCATGAGCCATGATGGGTATTACTGTCATGAACCATGATGAGTACTCAACTGGTAGTACGAGCAAGGGCAATGTATATGAACTAGGTAATCCATAAAGATGGGTCCGGTGTCAGCTGACCATAGTTATGTATTTTGCTACAACGTGTAGTCCATAGAGGTGGGCCCCGCTTGGTATAAAAGAATGTTAAAGAAATCAATCATCCCTTCCTAGGGGGCAGCATGCCAGCAAGATGACAGGGAAAGAGAAGAGAGAGGAAGAAAGAAATATTTTTCTATTGCTAATGGGTAGTCCATAAACATGTGGGTAGCTTTAGCTATAGACTGCTTTATGGACTACTTACGCAATGTTTCAGCCAGGCCATAGTGAATATTTAAATGTCTATGGACTACTTCTAAACCACATTGTGGTTGCTCTAAATGAGAACCAAGCAATCTCGCCCACTGCAACTGGCAGTTCTGGTTAGGGTACTTGCCAAAGTTGCATTTTAATACCTCACAAAAGTTAACTACAGACTACACTTGTACATCAAATCGCCTCTGAATTTTGCAGATCCATCAAGCCCACAATAAGAAGCTACGTGCTCTGAAAATTTGATGGTTTTAGTGATTCTTCTCAAATGAAGTCCAACGTTGTGCTAATCTGAAATTATTGTCTTTTCAAAGCCCAGTCTTCTTCTTTTCTAAAATTTTCTCAAACCTGTCATCTGAGACTGAAAGCATCTGATTCAAAATCAACCTCACCCCACAGCCAGTCATCCGAGCATACCGTGGTTTTATCCGCTGATCCAAGCTGTACCCAAAGTACTGTGGAAATTTCACGAGCTCGCACCTTGGGTACTCCATCGCCAGGAAGAACTCATATTTCGGAAGTAAGTTTTTTTCCAAGCTTAGTGTGTGAATAATTCCAAATCTGTTTGCCATAATGCCAATTTCCTCGATGCTAAATTCCCTCGCCAGGAAGAATTCTGTGATCGGCTTCAGCTTTGCCTCGACATTCAGACCAAAGGCCTGTGGGCTCTTCTGAATAAGAGATGCAGCATCTGCACCGATCGACCAGAAGTACTCAGCTGTTGGCCTGAGATTGTCATCGACGCTGTAGCTCATGAGATGAGGGCATCTCGTCAGGATCTTGCCAATGTTTTTCTTGGAAACTCCTAGCTCAGTAAGGAAGCTCACAGTCGTCTCCACCTTGTTCCTACTATACGTGAGAAGCGCAGGGAACCGGGTAATCACCTTGCTCCACTGAGCTTTGTTGACACCAATGTTCTCCAAATAAGCCATCATCGGTTTAAGATTATCTGACATGCTGATGCCACACAGCTGAGGCCTTTTCTTTATGATTCCTGGTATGCTGGACTTTGACACCCCAAGCTCAAGTAGTAGCTCCACCAGGGGTTTGATCTTACGATCCACACTGTAGTATGCAAATGCTGGGAACTTGCGCACGATGGTCTTGATCTCCTCATGATCCATGCCGAGGTCTAGTAGGTAGCGGACTAGCTCAGGGAGGGCACCCCCTGAGGTTGCCGTGGTTATTCGAGCAATTGCCTTTTGCTTATTTGAGCTTGTGGGTGTAAATGGCATTGATGAAGATAAGGCTTCCCTTTCCATAGAGAAAGGATCAGGGAAATTTTCCACCACCTCGACCAAACTATCGCCATGTTCTTTAGAAAGAGCTTCTAGATAGGGAATGAGAGCATCTCTGATCTCAGGTGTGCTCAGCTCCCTTCCTGAAAAATAAATAGGTTGTCAAAAGTCCAGAACCAATAAGAAGGCATACATATACAGAAAACCATAGTAAAAGCCACAAAACCTTCAGCATATCGAGATCTGTAAGCAATCTGGAGCTTTGAGACCAGGTGCTCAATGAATCCATCTGATTTGTTCACAATCCGTGCAGCTAGCGTGCTTCGCAAACCTTTCTGTCTCAAAAACAGGGACAGAACAGCTTTTGCTTCCTCTCTTTCTGCTGCAAGCAATCTTGACCGAACAGATGCAGGGCTCTGAGGCGCAGGCACCCATAAATCATCAGCATCTGCATCATAGAGGAATTCCGTACGCTAGGAAGATAAATTGCCTGTCCGGCGTACTTTTATGGAGAAAAAACATTGGGATGAACAGGTGATCTCACATGACTGTGCATTGCAAATTGGAAGCTGGCGGGAGACAAGAGTGCAAGATCTGCATGAACAGAGGACAACAAATTAGTGCACTGGAACCAACAATTAGTGAGTGTGGTGTGTGGATAAAGTTTACGAAAATCATTGAGGAGAACAGGGCCAAACAGGTAGTACGTTTACAATCAACTAAGCAAACTATGCCAAGGGGTTTGTCCCAGCTAATTTTGATTTCCCTGAAGCTTTCTTGAGGTAATTTAAGCTGGTTACCACAGCTCCAACTAACCCAGTCCCCAAAACAGCAAAACTAGAATGCACAGTACCACAGTGGAGTATAGCTAGGAATTCAGGAGAGACACGTACGCCGACGGGTACCTAGCTTATCCTGGAGGAAGGAGACCCACCCGGGGCAACCGCCCTACCTCTCACCCTCGCTCTACAGAGGAGAGAGGACACACTTCGAAGGGGAAGGAAACGAGATTACCTGCATGAAGAGGAGGACCTCGACAGGCTGAGCCTCCATGGAGGCAGCTGCAGGCCGCGGGGCTGGCATGTGACCGGGAGGAGTTCGAGGCGCGGGGGCACCTCCAAGCAGGTCATTGCCGGGAGGGGACGACGAAGCACCGCAACAGCGGGGAGCCGGGGAGCGAAGCGACAGTCGATGAGGCTGAGGCGAGGGTAATGTCTGTGCTTCCGCCTCTGTTCTATCTTGTTGTTTTCCCAGATAGACCCCTCAGCTATTGCCAATTCAATATTTTGCCCCCTTCTGGGCGGTTCGTTAATGCGGCTGAATTTTTAATACTCCCACCGATTTCCTAAAGACGTCGTTTCGAGGATGTTCAAACATTTTTAACTTTAACTATACATAAATTTTTTTAGTTGAGTTTAAAAATATGAAAATGATGTAAGTATATTCATCTTGAAATGTAGTTTCATAAAAGTATATATTGACCGTTAATTGAGCGGCAGAGCTCCTGCCTTTTATTTCAAAAAAAAGTATATATTAATTATTTTATAAATATTTTTATCAAAAAGTAACGGTCAATGTTGTTTTTTAAGACCGTGTCGCTGTCCAAAACGATATCCTTTAGAAAACCGGGAGAGTAAGAGTGTAAGACCGACTTGTAGAATTCCCGCTTGAATCCTCACAAATCCCATAGAAATCCTAGTCCCTACAAAGTTCGCACACTCCAAAGGTGCCTTGCAAATGTTACATACTCCTTCTGTCTCAAAATAGTAGTCACTATGGGATACGTGCTGGTAACATTTTTCAACTTTGATTAGATTTGTAGAAAATATTAAGAGCATTTATATCTTTAAACACTTTTATTATAAAAATATATTCAACGACTTATCTAATGATATTAATTATACACCATAAATATTAATATTTTTTTATATACCTTTAGTCAAAGTTAAAAGTATTTAATTTCTCGAGAAGTGAGAGCCACTCTAACAGTTTGGCTAAAATTATTAGCAGCTAAATTATATAGTTTAGCCATTTTATAAAATAAAAGACTTTTAAAAAAAGAAAAGATTTACAATAGCCTTGTTATTTCTCATCTTCAGATAGCTAGCGCTCGTAGTTGGCTTTATATGGCAACCGAAAACCAAGAGATAGCTTACTTTTTATTTTACAAAGCCACGTAACATATCTGTTGAAGTCTATCTTTTACTATACAAATTCTAAAATAGCCTCTAAAACAAGAATAGCCGAGCTTGTGAAGTTACTCTGAGAATGACGTCTATTTTAGGAAGGAGGGAGTATAGCAGATCCATGAACGGTCAGCGAGTGTGTACGCCAAATTTACACCCAGGTAAAGAACCTGCTCAAGTATACACGCACACGCCAAGAGATCATACGGCTCAATGAAGGCCCTGATGCTCGTCCAGCAAGGATACGGTCCATTCATGGATAGCATAGTTCGTACTTACTTACAATTTCGAGCTTGCATTCTGGTTGGGCAAGACTGGGTACAGGAACACTCTCCGTTGCAATTTACAAAGATGCCTTACTCAAGCCATAAACTTCCGTACTTCGCCAAGGGAGGGAACTGGCAAGTTTTATGCAGAAAATGACAAGCAGTTATGCATAGCAAGTACGTCTAGTAGTCCTTAAGTACTCAACACACTTCTCATGATACTGTGGATTTTCTAAGTCATGGCTGAAAGTACCGTTGACTGATTTGTTGTAAGAGAAAAATACTGTTCGTTGGCTGAAAAAGTACGGCTTATAAACCAAGCGAACAGGGTGATAATCCCGAGTTCAAACCGGGACAGAACCTTCAAGCCTTCCTGTTGCCTACTTCCCTCTCATCTTCATCTGAGTCATCATTCATGGTTCCCTTCTGAAGCAGTTCCTTCATCTTATGGTATTCATCATAGTGAACCTTCCGGTGCTCTTCAAAAGCTACACAGGGGAACGTGTTAGTTTTTCCTTGCTCCGATCACGAAACAGTTGATAGGAAAAAAATACACGGGGCAAACTTTCTCCATATATGATCTCATATGAAGCATTGTTTATTAACTATAAAAGCAGCTAATTACTGTATTAAACCAAGTTGCCTTCACATCTTTTCATTGCAATAGAGAAATTCTGGTCTGTTATCACCATGTGGTTAATAGTTAAAATGGTGCATTAGAAAAAGTCCTGACTGAAGTGAAGAGAAAACCGAGCAGGCTGAGCTGAAAGGAACTTGATATTACTGTACACAGGAGTAGATCATTATATTATTGAGGTGTTGTTTCTATGTCCTAATATCTTCTGAATCCAGAAATGTAAATCAGTTGAAGAGTGTGCTAAAGCCTAAAGGTATCTGTAAAATTTACATTAGCATATAATAAAATCAGATCATTTGAGACTTAAAAACTTATGCTATCTCCTTTCATATGTTGCTTCATTGGATTTATGGCAAAAATAAAAGGAGGGTAGAAGATAAATTGTGACATGGCAACAGGATGATAAAGAATTTGCACAAGCAACCGATGCTGGCAAGAAGAGCTATTAGTACTCCAACTTGAGCATTGAAATGCATAATAGGATATAATTGAAGAAAGATGTCAAATTGATAACCTTTCCCTTGTTTTATGTCTTCTTCACTGTCACACCTATCCCAACCACTTCTGTCAAAAATCTTCCCACTTGAAACAGCTTCAGCTAAAGCAGTCTTTATGGCATCAGCATGAGCAGATTTATCCACTGAATCTTCACTGAGACGTAACGGTGAAACAGGCCCTGCTCATCAGAGTGGGTCATCATATTCATGCTCTTTGAGAATGGATAGTGGATGCATTATGGAAAAGCAGCAATCTGGATTCAGTTTGCAAACCCCAGATTCAGTACCTTCATCTTCATCGATCATAGGGTGGTAAGGTGTCTTAGGCTCGGTGATCTTCTCTCTTTCTGGTTTGTTTGACTCAATGTCATTCAAGTTCTCCTCATCCCATTTGACACGACCCCTGGAACACATCAATTGTGGTATTTTGCTGGGCAAACCATTATGTCAGAAAAGAAGTCGAAACAGCACCACTAACCTTGCCTTCTTGGGTTCTCTAGCTTTCATTGTGTTCTGACAAATGCACGGCAGCTCAAGAAAACAACCTCAGAATCTGCAATAGGTTACCAGGTAAACATCCGCAAAGGGAAGTCAATATAATGTATCCCAGGCACCTTGGGATGATCAAGGCTCTAATAAGACATCATCCTGAACATCACTATTTAGTATTTACTGAAACCTACATAACTCCACAAGTCCACATCTACCAACAGATAATAAAATCACAAAATAGAACAGAATATGAGGGTGGAACTGTGAACTCTTAGCTGAAGCAGTCACTATTCAATCGGAACAAAACATTAAACGTGTAAAACACTGTACAGCCAAGGGCGCATCCGATTCCATAGGAATTAGCACCACCGATAAAACATGAAATCAACAATTACTCACCAATCAATCAAACTCTGGGTAGAACCAACACAAACTAAAAGAATATAACAATAATAATAAAAGAAAACAGCACGAAGGAAGAAAAATGCCACTAATCTTTCAATACACCACAGATAAATAAAGGACGCCCACCAGAATCGCACCCCATTCGCCCCGCTTGCAGAAATGACTAATCAAACCAGACCAACCCTGAACCCACTGAAACGCGGATGGGGATCAATGCCGAGACGGACTGGGAAACAGAACACTGCCACATGACACACATGGTCGTGCCCGATGCCAAGCAGACGAGCATCAACAACGATACGAAACGCTCACAAATTCGTTCGGCAGACGACGACGACCGCATAACCAGGGATTGGGCCGCACAGGCGAAAGATATGTGCGCGCCCGCTGATTGAGACAACTGGGGAGAGGCACGGCCGTGAGAGGAAGAGAGGGAAGGAGGCGGAAGATTACCTTGTGAGCCCCCGGTGGTCTGTGGAGGAATGAGCGGAGGAGCGAGAGCGAGAGGAAGCGCGGAACCCTGGCCTGGAGAGGACGGTCGCCGGGCTGTTTCAGGAAAGCTAGAGGGTTGTCTCGTAATCCGTACTCGTTAGATTGTCTTTTTAGTTAGAGTAGTTTTTTCTTTCTCAACAAATCAGTCGGAATAATATTTTAGCTTTTTTTTTTTAACGAAGCGAACGAAAAACGGTTGTTTCGTGTTTGGTTTGGACCCACACACAGTGCCTCGCTAGTCGATACCTAGGGCTTTCCCTGTGCACCACACTGCCATGCTGCTCTTGATTCCAGGTATAAATTCAGGTTTTAAATTAGTCTCAGTAAAATTTCAGAAATAATTTTGTGGACATTAAATAAGTTAATACTGTATACAGTATAAACAAAGATAGAGAGAAAAAAAAAACAGTGATGAAACTTGTCCACCTTATTTTCAAAGTATGTGTCTTAGAAACTAGGACATCACACCCTACAGAAAGCATCTTCATCAATTTCTTAATAATCTACCACTAGAGTAGACCAATATTATCTTTGTGATTACTGGGGAGGTTGCTACATCAATACCCCAATGTATCAATCCAGTACCCGTGTTAAATACATGTCCCACATATGTGTAGAAGAAAAAATAGCTGAAAAGTGATAGGTAGGATGGTCCTCAAGCTATTGGGGCAATACAACTCTTTATTTGAGGGGAGATGGGTGAAATATTAGTTTTTGATATTGGGAAACTCCTAGAATAAGAAAACAAGCACAACTATACCTAATAATATAATAATATAATATAATGAGGATAGGTGAAGGTTTTGGTGTTATGCTAGAGATGCTATGAAATTGGCATTATGTCACGAAGGTTATTACTCGTGCGGTACTATGACAGAGTCATTTATAGAGATAGTGAGAGTCCTATCTAAAAAAAAATCCAAAGCACATGCTTGGATTGGGATCACTGGAACCCATTACCCACTTGTGCATATAAAAGGGAATAAAGAAATTTGGTAGTGGTAAAGCTTAGACCTAAGAGACTAGGAGCGCCAGTTCATCCATGCCTACGTATATATGGCCTAAATTGAGCTAATTTAATTCCATGTTGTTTCTAAATTGGTTCTCAATAGGACCGGATGACAATTGAATCCAATTTTTCCATTATTTGGCTGTCGATAATAGTGCGGAATTCGTAGCTTAAATTGAGCTAATTTAATTCCATATGGTTTCTAAATTGGTTCAATTATTAGAATGACCTAGTGACTTGCTGCAATGAGTTTCACATGTTGGTTTTGTGGGGGAAAATCCTTTTAACTTCCATTAACTATACTTTTGTCCATGAATGATTAGGTTGATTTTTTCAATGGCATATACAGGTCGATCATCTTTTTCAATGACACAGAGAGAATTCTCTCTTTACTGACATACTTTGTAGGCCAAGCCATTGCAAGTTCGCACGTACCAACCGGTCAATACTGTTTTTTTTTGTCCTTTTGATAATGCAGTCTATGATGCAGTGAGGAGGTCATTGTTGAGGTCACGCATTAAGGAATTTTCTGTCAGCCTGATCGGCTGATGCTGGCTGGCTGGCCAGCCCCCTCACACGGACGTTTACGTGAACAATGTTTTTCCGTCAAAACAGTATTTTTCTCTCACACAAACCAATCAAAGCAATACTTCTTCACAAACCAGCAACGATACGAAACCAGCCAACCGAACAGGCTGAGCAATAGAATCTTTCATATTATCCATCCGTTTGTTTCCAGCATTCTAATTTTTTGAGAATGTTTAGACCAGCTCGAGAGGCTGTTTATGCATTCTTTTAAGATTTCCTGCCCACAAAGAACGCCCAGCTAGGCAGCTAAGACCTTTTTTGGCTGTACTCGTGAAATGAGATGGATTGTAGCGCGGCCCGCCAGTCAAAGTATCGATTCCCTGTCCAAGTTCGTCAAATACAGGTTTTTTTCGGTGTACTGTGGTTCGCCTGTGCAGCTGTGCTCGTCTAAATATAGCGTCAACTCACAAAAGAAAAAAAAATCAACCAGAATATCTAAGATCTTCCGGTGATTTTTTTTACAAAACTCAAGAAGCTAACAATCTCTTGCATAAAATAGAGATCTACATACGCCTGGCTGGCAGACGGTTGTATCTTCACATTCCAGACTCCACCAATCGTCCCTTTCAAACATGCGTTTGCACTCGCCGCCCCAAGCAATGGCCAAAATAAAAAGGTTAAAACAGAGTTAATGCGCCCACAAGTCATACAAAGATATTAGAATACGACATCATGATAGCTATGCTGAATGACACCTGATTATATGCCACCATACTATGGGAATGGCATCTAACAGTCGGATGTGCAGAAGATAAGTCTTTCCAAACAATCAAATATATGAGATTATACTCCCTCAATTCAGAAAAAACAATGCAATTCTAAGCTATTGAGTTTGACCAAATGTATATTAAAAAAGTATCAACAATTACTATACCAAATAAAAACCATTACATTAATTACAAATATTTTAATAGTATACCTGTTTCATGTCATAAATATTGGTATTTTTCCCCATAAATTTGGTCAAACTTCACTAAGGAGAAAACTAGAATTGCACCTTCAGTATAAATCAAAATAGTTATTCACTGATCAACATAAACTATCAGCTGCCCTCCGTCGGTATTTAAGTTCATCTAACTTAAATGTGTTGACTTTAGGTCATGTTTGCTTCTCTTATAATCCGTCTTTTTCAGCTGTTTTTTCAGCCGGAACAGTGTTTTCGCTTGTTTTTTCAGCGAAGCGAACGGGCCATTTGTCTCCATAGGTGCCCTAACAGACTGCCATGTCTGCTACCAGTGCTGAAGTCCAAGACCACAGGTAGCCATTAAACCGATGAGACATTTCAAGCTGTAAACAAACTCAATAAAGTGTTGTTTAATCGCACATTGTAAGGGTAAGTGGATACTAATCAGATGAACTGCCACAAATCAAGATTCCTAGACGTTCTGTGGTACATACTCCTACTTTAGATTGTGCTACAGACGTCATAGTTCCAAGCAACTACAAATGCACTGGACAGTAAGAGGCTATGACATAAGAATGGTTAATATCGTACAGGCTCAGGCAACTGACATAAGAACGGTAAATCACATCATAATTACACCAGTATCAAAGACATGAAAACGTTTTACCAAAATTATATATCTTCTTTGTTGGTGGCTTTTGTTTGGTTTCACCTAACTTTGCAGTTAGCACAACTTGCTTTCCAGGCTTCATTGTATTTTACTACTGTTGTTTTTATTCTTACCAAAATCATATAAATACATTAACCCAATAAGGAACATGGAAATATTAGCCATCCCACAGGAGTAATAGAAGCACCATACCTGTGGGACACAAACATCGCAATAAGGAACATAGTCAACTCGAATTCAAATTTAGGCATAGCAAGCCATTAGCGCATTTTACCCAACTAGGAAAAAAGAATGACATAATTCACATGGTAGCATCCTCTCAGATTTTATAGTTAACTAGTTACCTCTGGCAGATTATAAAAGCTCGAAAGAAGGGAGCAGTATTATCAGCAGATTATTCAACAACAACAATCCCCGGTAAAATAAGGAAAAAAGGTGGTATAGCAAGTGGAATTGGGACCTAATACATTGGCACACATCTCAACTAAAGTCAGTAGAAAGCATTCATGTAACTCCACAGGCAATTCCAACATTTTATGGCATGAAAAAAAAAAGTAGCCGATAAAGCAAGACAAAGCAATCATAAACTAAATAACTTAAAAGTTATAAATGTTTGTAGCTTTTAAGGTTTGACTAAATCTTGTCCTAGACGACATGTTTTTATGACAGGAGGGAGTAACAAAATATGGCAATTGAACCACATAAGGAATGGTTAGGATCAACCTTGGAAGAAGTGGAAAACCATGATTGATCACCTGTTTGGAGAATGAACAGGTAAACCCAGAACTGCCTTACACCTCAACAAATGTGTTCGGTAATATCATCTAACCAAAGCACAAGGAGTAATTTAGCATATTCTTAACCTTATTCTTTTACCTGCCTCCATAACTATTCAAGCAATAATAAGCATAGAATCCTAACTCTAACCCTGAACAGGTGCCAAGTATGGTGGACACAGGAGTGCGAGGGCAGCATTTTGTAACAGTTCATGTCCATGCAAATAAAGAAACAAATTGATAATAATCGTGCAATGAATTACAGGAATGATAAATAATGATGATGAGCTGATGAAACAGAACTGGAGTGGGAAGACAAAGAGGGCAGAGGTTACCAAAGTAGTCAAAAGAGCTGAGCTCAACTCTGTCAAGCGAAGAACAGGTGGAGTATTAACAAATAATTCGCATATAAACCCCTGATTGTACATAGAAGATAGGATAGTAAACTGACCACTTGGATTCACAATTACAGATGAGACCTTTGGAGGCCCGACCACAAAAAAAAGTCAGTAATAAGGTACGATAATCTGGCATCCACGAATCCTTCCTCTCTTGATACAGCCACAGCTTTAAGCTGCAGACGTGTCACATAATGTTTGAAGTGTGTTACATAAACTTTCCAAGAAGTCCTTCAAGAATTAGCCATCAATTGAAGTCTAATTGGTAACAGAAATCATCAGGACCAGGTCTAACAGAGCATGTATACTATTCCTAAAGAAAGGTACCTAGCCTAACAAATCCTGGCAAGAACGCTAGTGACAATTCAGTAGTTTCTCACAAGAAATGACTGCTGAAGCAATGATAATTTACAATAAATAGGCTCACCGATATGAATATATCAACACAGGTGCAAGGATTAGTAGACCAAGCAACAATGTTAAGAACCTAGTGTCTTCAGTTGACCAACACCTAATAAGAAACTAAAAATGCTTCACACCTCAGACTGAATTGATTCCTAGATTGTTGAAATGTTTCTCATTGTTAACATATGCCAAAGCAGAAAATTTTCCTGTCAGGTAAACACTTGCACTGTTGAAAATGAGCAGGCTATGTCTATAAGACAAGGTACACCAAGCTAACTCTATTCAGTACAAACCAGATCCTTTGGCAAATTTAAATAAGAAATTAATAAAGATATAGATTCACCACATTTTTACACAACACATCAGCAGAGGGAACAGGCTCCTCGGCATTTTACCTTACAGTTCCCATTAAGAAGGCATTGATTTCCTTGCGAAAAGAAAAAGGCACCGGTCCCTTCACTTCATTCAACTCTTGCAAAGAAAATGAAAAGATCAAAAGAAAATGCACTACTTGAAACAAGAAAATAAAATGTCACTAATATCTAATTGATTACTGATTACAAGTCAACAATTTATAATACTTTACACATGTCAGAGGTGAAATTTGGTGTACGCAAGGCCAGACCTTTTAGATGAACTGAAAGTGCATTAGATCTGCACCTTATAATGATGGTAGGTTAGAATATGACAGTTCTGGTAGAGAGCTAACCCTGCCATTTGAACACTCGCTGCATGGAACTTAAGTAAAATTTATGTTCCCTTTGATCCCTTGCCTGTTATAGAACACAATAAGCTGTCACCGCACACTAAGTAGACAGGATACTTCTCTGTCCAGTTGTACACCTCACCTTGGAACATGTTTACTCACTCAAAAACTGTCATTTGCAGCAAGACTGATCTGGTTTCAGATCAGCCAAAAAGGCCACGATCTCCTATGCTCCCTTGTTCTTTCATCTGTTGCTCCACCAGGGGGTCAGGGCTCTTCATGTATTTCTTGATCCTCCTGTATGTCCAAGAATGTAATATACAGGCATATTAATACAACATTCAGTTTAGGCATTTCGAGTTTGGAAGTCAAATAATAAAGTAACTATTACCTGTCCTGTTCATTCAGAGCAGGAAACGTTGGCATGAATTCCTTCGTCTTGGGCAGAGGAACTTCACGGAACCAGTCATGGTTCAAGGCATCATCAGCAGATATGCGCTGTATAAAAGGAAGAAGTCTATTAAGGACATGCAAAATGTGTACAGGAGAATCAGGTGGTGCACTAGAGAACGTAGTTTACCTTCTCAGGGTCATACGTCAGCAACCTATTTAGCAGGTCAAACCCAGCTTCTGACAAGGTCAAACCTCCCGTGAAGGATACAGCTGGAAATTTGTCCCTTAATCTATTGTACCTGATGTAGCAAATCGAAAGTAAGATCTCCATGAAAGTGAACCACTGCATTCAAAACACAAAAATTGCAGCTATAAAGATTGGTTGCCACTTACGGTCGCTTTACAAAGTTGCCTTTGGCACCAGGCAATTTGGAAAAACCATGCCATCGCTCCTCATTGGGTGTGCCGAGTATCCTAAATATCTAGAGTAGAAGTTAACTGCCATTAGAATTCAGTGATGTAGTTATAACAAACAAAATATAGATCACACAACATATGTCCATATACCTTATCAAGTTGATCTATCTCAGACTTCCCAGTGAAGAGTGGCTCTTTTGACAAGAGTTCTGCCATTATGCAACCTAATGACCACATATCAATAGCAGTAGAATACTCCTTTGCTCCTAATAGTAGTTCCGGAGCCCTGTAATTATAAGGAGCAAACAATGAGTCATGATTGTACATGTGCGAATATCAAGTCAAATCGTGATGTAAAAATGCATGGGACATTTGAGAAATCATGGCTGATAACATACCTGTACCACAAAGTCACAACTGGTTGGGTGTAAGGCTTTAGCAGGCTGCCATATTGACGCGAGAGTCCAAAATCACATATTTTCAACTCACCACGGTTATTCAAGAGGAGATTTGATGTCTTGAGATCCCTAAAAAGCCACACTGACATTATTAAATACATACAGAAAGCATAGAACCCATTTAGTGTTATGCAGAACAGCAATGAGTAAGAATCAGCAGTTGGTCATTACCTGTGAAGTACCCAATTGTCATGAAGATACTTCACGCCCTCTAGCAGCTGAAGCATCAAACATTTTACCTCACTTTGGGTATATGGTTGTTTCATCGCCTCCATGACACCCTTAAGGTCATGCTCCATGTATTCCATCACCATAAAAGTATCATCGTCATGACCACCAACAACTACTTCCTTGACATCCACAATTGAAGGGTGGTCAAAGGATAGAAGGATATTGATTTCCCTGAGAGAAGTCAATGGAAAACCTTCCCGCCCCTTTTCCTTATCCACCTTGACCTTCTTCAATGCAACTATCTCACCAGTTTTCTTGTCCCTCACCCTAAATACAACTCCATATGTACCCTCATTGATTGTGTTGATCCTCTCAAACTCATCAATACTCCTACACCCCTGAAGCATGTTAAAGCACCTACGTGGTGGTCGTACAGCCTCAGGTGTTCCAGACCTACGCACATCACTCCTGGAACGAGTATCCAGCGAACAACCAGCAGAAGAATCAATATCATCCTCTTTTTCATCAACATCCATGCAGCCACCCCCGTCTACCTCAATATTACAGTTCTCACTACCCATCGAGTTAGACGAACTTGAGGAACTTCTTGATGTTTTGCTGCCCATCGCTTCTCCAGCCTCTGGGCTCATGGCTTTCTTTGTCGATTTCTGTTCAGGCAAATGAGCAGGTGACACACGTTTCTTCTTCTTGGGCACAATCACCTCTTCCTCCTCTTCATCAGCATCTGCCCATCTGGAAGTAAAAATGTTTCTTGTTGCACAATCCTCTTCCTCCTCTGTAATCCCATCCCTCCTTTCAGCATCATTTGGAACCACCAAAACTTCCAAATTCATTGGTACGCACCCAGCAGCCACAGCCACAGCCTCAGGGGTCGTGTCTGACAAAGGAGGCGGCGAAGAAGAGGGAGCTCCGCAGCTAAGGCATCAGGCCCTCTCCTGCTCCACACCTCATCTCTTGCCTTTAGCTTTGAAACATTCGAATCGTGGAATCCAGGTGAGTGCTTCCTCTTCTTGCTTGGTGGCAACGCACCTCCATCTCCATCCCTGCGGACCCCCAGAACCCCATCCTGCCTCGGCACTGGTGGGCGCCCACCAGACTCCGAGCCGCTATCGCTTGAGACCTCACCAGGCTCCTTATCGTCCTTCCTCCTTGAAGGCCGGCTCCTCGGTGGCGGATACGGCGAGCGGTGGCGCGACACCTCACCGCCCCTGCTGCCATCACGGCGGCGTTCCGAGTCGTGGTCGCGGCTCGGGCGGCGGTACTCCTTGCTCCTCCTGGAACGCTCTAGGTCTAGCTCCCGCCTCCTGGACACGTCGTGGCTCCTGTAACCCCCGTGCCGCGCCGCAGCCATGGAGCGCAAGCAGGAATTCCCCCGGAACGGAATCGTTCCGAAGCAAATCCGAAAAATTCGGGGCGGAATTGGACGACAAACCCTAGATCCCGTACCAAAACAGAAAATCCAAGATAAAATTGGGACCGAATTGGGGAATCGGGGGAACTGGCACTCTGGTCTCAGCGACTTCGCTCTCGTCGAGCACGATAAGCTAATTGGAAGGGGGGCGACGCGGGACGCCGGACGCGGAGCGGGCGAGCGGCGGAGAGAATGCGGGTTGGGGGGCTGGGGAGGTAAGCGACGCGAAGGCAGCAGGAGTCAGTCGATTGACGAGGGAAGGCAACTCGGCAAACGCGTGTTGTCCACTCGTTCTTATCGTTTGATTTGATTGATTGCTGGAGATACCGCGTCGGACTAGGGCTTGGGCTTTAAGCGGCCCAGTATATGGCAGGTGGGGTTGTGATGTTACACGAACCTGGTCTGGTCCAAGTTGTCAGCGAGGTTGGAGCAGCTAACGGGTAATGACGGACGCCTCTGGGGATCAAGTGGTAGGAAACTTCAGTTTGCCGACTTCGATGGTCAATGGCTGTCGGTTTGACCAATATTACCGGCATGTCAATTAGTTTTGATTTAAATCAAGATTTCAGATTTCGACCCGAAAATCTCTGTGCGTACTGAACTCGTATTTGGGGCAAACTAAACTGGCCTCAGTTTTTCGATTTACTCGGTTTGACCAAAATGTCATAGAACATGCTTCCCGCTCAGGCGCAATTTTTTTTTAACCAAAATGCAAAAAATGCTTCGGAAAACAAAAAAAATGCAAAAACAAAAACATGAAATAGGAACTATATAAAATGCATAGCATCATGTCTAGTTGCAATAACGTGATGACGTCGAAAATCATTCGAACAGATAGTGGTGGCCATATAACTAATAGATGACCGAAAAATAAATTAAAATATCTGAGATCAAAACCAAAATAACTTAAACTAAAAATGTCAAGTTACAATTTGGTGTCCATTAATTCACTAAAATTAGTCCTATTATTTTATCCTAGTTCAGTTAACTGAACGATTGAGAAAAGCCCCGAAAGACATGAGGGCAAGTCCATAAGTTGAGCCTTAACTTAGAACATCTCCAAGCCCCAAAAGTGGCCCCGTTCGGCTTACCCTATATTAAACTTGTTCGACTTATTTTTTTAGCTGGAACAGTATTTTTCTCTCACAACAATTCAGCTAGAAAACAGTGTTTTTTCACCAGTTTCAGCCAAGATTCAGCAAGCCGAACGGAGCCATAAAGGCAAGTCCATGAGTTGAGCCAACTTAGAACATCTCCAGCAGTCCGATTTTTCTAACCTCCAGTTAGAAAAGATTGTTATTTTGAAGATTTTATAGCACCAACTCCAATGAGAAAACAATCTTAACCCCTCAAGTCATAGAATATGCTTCGAAAAAAAAGAATATGCTTCGAAAAAAACAAAAACATGAAATAGGAACCGTATAAAATGCATGTGTCGGTATTTTCGGACCACCGACGAGTAAATTTGTATTTACGTGTCTGGCTCGGATGGTGTGCTCGGAGGACACAAGGGTTTATACTGGTTCGGACGGAACGTCTCTACGTCCAGTTCGCTGCTGCTCATGTTACCGGCACTTGGTTTGTAGTATGGGTTACAAATAGGTGAGAGAGGGAGATGATCCCAAGTCTCTGGTGGAAGGAATGAACGGGTGCTGAGAACTCGCTTGCCGCTCAGCCGTGTGCTCGTGTCGTGCTCTTGTGTCAAGATCCCCTATTTCATAGGGTGTCCTGCTTCCCCTTTTATAGGCGAAAGAAAAGCACAGGTTACAGAGGAGGAAAAGGAGAAGAACGAGAGAGAAGAAGGCTTTCAGGGTTGTCGGGTCCTTCTTTTCCATGCGGGTCCCATCGATCCTATAGATGTCAACAGGGATGGCTTCATGTCGCGGCTCTGTTCATCACTAGCGCCATGCGCATGCGTTATCTGCCGGTCATGGCATTCCACTCTATTCTGGTGGACGTCGTGGTGAACTGACGCGTCTGTCAGCGTCCGTACGAGGATTAGACAGAACAGCACCGGCACGCCCGACACTGTTCTTGATGTGAATCTCCAGGTATGGACCGTCATGGCCACGGGTTACATCGAGGCGTACCAGCCTCTTCCCTGACATCAGAGTTTTGACCCCGGCCCATACGCTTGGATCTGGAGTGGTTGGCGGCGGTATGTGTCCCCGTTGGATGAGACGAAACCCGCGTCCTCGAGGTCGGGCGAGATAGAGCCCGCGACCTTGGGTGAGACGGAAACCACGTCCTTGGGGCCGGACGAGACGGAGCCCGCACCTAAGGGGTTGGGCGAGACGGAGCCCGCGGCCTCGAGATCGGGCAAGACGGAGCCTGCAGCCTTGAGGTCGGGCGAGACGGAGCCTGTGGCCTTGGGCGAGACGGAACTCGCGTCCTTGGGGTCAGGCGAGATGGGGCCCGCACCCAAGGGGTCGGACGAGACAGAGCCTGTGGCCTCGAGCTCGGGCGAGACGAAGCTCGCGGCCTTGGGGTTGGGCGAGACCTTTTAATACGTCTCAATCATCCGGGAAAGTCAGCATGGGCGTTAACTTTCTTGCTTTGGGTATCCCTAATATCGATACCCGATAGTAGCCCTCGAGCCTGCGGAGGAGTAGAATACTCCTTTGGAGGCTTTTTCGAACGGGAGGACTCTGAGGGCCTTGGCCTTCTTTTTGTAGCCCACGACGTCTCCTGGTAGGACGATGATTCCCTTTTGTCACGATCGGTCTTCTTGGGGGAATGTAACCGCAGGATTCGGGAGGTCGAAACAATTTTTCTTCATTCTGGTTCCCTAGGATCCGATCGGTCCACCGTCGTCACCGTCATACTACGACCGTGTGTTCGGTCTCCTTACGAGTCCAACTTCCCTCGAGCCTCCACGCGTAGCAGGGGTCTAGTCGAGGGTCGGCTCATCTTTGTGATTGTTATCCCTCAAGCGTTTTTTCGATAAAATGGAGGGGCTGAGCCGTGCCACCTTTTTCCTCGATAAACGAAACATGGTGCTCGGTGAGCTATTAACGGGCTAGTTCGAGTGGGGCCCCATTCATGGGGGTCCGGCATGGGTCAGCTGGTGACTGACTCCAGACTCTTGGTGGCCAATCCATATAGTTCTTAGGTCCGTTAGACCGGTCCTAAGGGCTCATTGCCTTTCTTCGAGAAAAAACCATGGACAAGGAACCGACCAAGACTCGAATGTGGGCCGGGATGCCCATGGTGCTCGTGCTCCCGGGTACTAGCCACTAGTGGGCTCATCCCTTTCCACCCCTCGCTCTAAGGGTGCCCCAGAGCACTATGAACTCGTTGGTAGGCCAGCCTTCGAACTCCTGCTGCTGAATGGGTTGTAGGATCATTTTTAGCTCTATATCCTTCCTTACATGTGATGGTTCTTGGCCCATCGACCAGGCGAACCGTCATCCGGTGTGTCCTTCTAGGGTGTGGCCAGAGATAGCGTGCGCACGATCTTCAAAGGGAGGTGAAGTGACGTGGCGCAGCGGAGCGCGTGAACCTAGGCAGACGGTTCGCCTTCTCGCCCTGCTCCATCCTATAAATAGCGGCCTCCCCTTCACATTTCTGCACACCAAAACCATAGTCTTACCTTCTCCATTTCTCCGCCATCACTGTTTAGATCTGTCGTGCTTGCTAATCCACCATCGGAGCCCTAGATCTGTAGCTTCCGCTTCTCCACCACCGCCTTTGCTTCTTCACAGCCGCCTCCATCCTCCATGGATTCATGGTACCGCTCTGATGTTACCCATGCACGCATGGAGGGCCTCGTCAAGCGTGGTTTCTCCATGGGAGGATCGATGCGGTGGACTGGCTTGTGCCTGGCCATGAGGATGCGTCGGCGCCACCCGACATCTACGTCGTCACCTTCATGCCCTTTCATGAGCGCGAACTCGTGGTTCCTCCCCACCCGTTCTTCCGGGGTCTGCTACACCACTATCAGATTGAGCTGCATCACTTGAACCCCAACGGGATCCAGCACATCATGGCCATCATCATGATTTGTGAGGGGTACCTAGGGATCGATCCCCACTTCGAGCTATGGAGATATTTCTTCTCCATCTCCTTGATCAAGAAGAAGGAGAGAGGCCGAGAGACCCCGGTGCCAATTGGATGCGTGGGCATCCACCTCTAGGGGCAGCGGGTAGCCAAATACATGCCCTGCCAGCTCGCCAAATCCAAGAAGGGGTGGCACTTGCATTGGTTCTACATAAAGAATGACCCTGTCGCTCCCTTATCGGTCTTCTCTGGGTGCTTGGTCGAAGAGGTACCGTCGTCATGGCCATGGGGGCCACCCATCAAGGAGAAGAAGAGGATGTGCGACCTCCTTGAGGCCATCGCATTCCTAAAGACCCATGGCCTCCGTGGGGCCAGCGTCATCATGGGGTACCACATGAGGAGGGTGGTGCCGCTAATGGCATGTGTCCTCCCACTATACGGGAGGACGCCCGGCGCGCAGCATGTCGGGACGACGCTCGCCTAGGTCGCGTAGCGCATCAAGGAGGCCACGAGGGAGGCCGATGCCATGTTCCCAATCCTAGGGCATCTCGTGATGCGGCCGAACGCGGGCTTCATGGAGCTACCGGCGGGGTTAGTCTTCCCGGATTCTGTCGCGCCGCTGCTAAAGCACATGGCCGTGAGGGCAGCGAACCATGCTGCGGATGAATAAAGGATGAAGAAGAAGGACGACGAGGAGAAGAAACAGCAGTCAAAGCAGTGAGCAAAGCTGCAGCAAGGGAAGCGGCGTCAAGGTTCATCAGGAGAAGAGAGAGGAGGAAGAAGAAGAGGAGGAGGAGGAGGATGACGGCTCGGGTCACCCATCCCGTGGGATGATCTGGCCATCGGGGATGAGGACCCACCATCACCGCAAGTGGGGCCCTTCCTGCGGCATGCCATGGGGTAGGAGGGGGAGGACACCCTCGGAGCTAGTGGAATCAAAG